TATCAAGCTCCTTGATCCATTTTGAATTCACTTTTGTGCATGGCGAGAGAAAGGGATTCAGTTTCATTTTGTTGCATATGGATTTCCAGTTTTCCCAGCACCATTTGTTGAAGATGCTATCCTTCCTCCATTGCATGCTTTTAGACCCTTTATCAAATATAAGATAGTTGTAGTTTTGTGGATTGGTTTCTGTGTCCTCTATTCTGTACCATTGGTCCACCCGCCTGTTTTGGTACCAGTACCATGCTGTTTTTGTTACTATTGCTCTGTAGTATAGTTTGAAGTCTGGTATCGCTATACCGCCTGATTCACACTTCCTGCTTAGCATTGTTTTTGCTATTCTGGGTCTTTTATTTTTCCATATGAATTTCATGATTGCTTTCTCTATTTCTACAAGAAATGCCGTTGGGATTTTGATTGGCATTGCATTAAACCTATAGAGAACTTTTGGTAATATCGCCATTTTGATGATGTTAGTTCTGCCTATCCATGAACAGGGTATATTTTTCCATCCTCTAAGATCTTCTTCTATTTCTCTCTTTAGGGTTCTGTAGTTTTCATTGTATAAGTCTTTCACCTCTTTTGTTAGGTTGATTCCTAAGTATTTTATTTTTTTTGAAGATATTGTGAATGGAGTGGTTGTCCTCATTTCCATTTCAGAGGATTTGTCGCTGATATACAGGAATGCCTTTGATTTATGCGTGTTGATTTTATATCCTGCCACTTTGCTGAATTCATTTATTAGCTCTAATAGTTTCTTTGTAGACCCTTTTGGGTCTGCTAGGTATAGAATCATGTCATCTGCAAATAGTGATAATTTAAGTTCTTCTTTTCCTATTTTGATGCCTTTAATTTCTTTCGTCTGTCTAATTGCTCTGGCCAGTGTTTCGAGAACTATGTTGAACAGAAGTGGTGAGAGAGGGCATCCCTGTCTTGTTCCAGATTTTAGAGGGAATGCCTTCAATTTTTCTCCATTCAGAATGATGCTAGCCTGAGGCTTAGCATAGATTGCTTTTACAATATTGAGGTATGTTCCTGTTATCCCTAGTTTTTCTAGAGTTTTGAACATAAAGGGATGCTGTACTTTGTCGAATGCTTTTTCCGCATCTATCGAGATGATCATATGGTTCTTATTTTTAAGTCTATTGATGTGGTGAATAACATTTATTGATTTCCTTATATTGAACCAGCCTTGCATCCCAGGGATGAATCCTACTTGATCATGGTGCACAATTTTTTTGATGTGCCTTTGTATCCGAGTGGCCAGAATTTTATTGAGGATTTTTGCATCTAGGTTCATTAGAGATATTGGTCTGTAGTTTTCTTTCTTTGAAGTGTCTTTGTCTGGTTTAGGTATCAGGGTGATGTTGGCCTCGTAGAATGAATTTGGAAGTTCTCCCTCTTTTTCTATTTCCCGAAGTAGCTTGAAAAGTATTGGTATTAGTTCCTCTTTAAAGGTTTTGTAAAACTCTGCTGTATACCCATCCGGTCCTGGGCTTTTCTTAGTTGGTAGTCTTTTGATGGTTTCTTCTATTTCCTCAATTGATATTGGTCTGTTTAGGTTGTCTATATCCTCCTGACTCAATCTGGGCAGATCATATGACTTAAGAAATTTATCTATGCCTTCACTATCTTCTAATTTATTGGAGTATAAGGATTCAAAATAATTTTTGATTATCTTCTGTATTTCTGAAGTGTCTGTTGTGATATTGCCTCTTTCATCCCGTATGTTAGTGATTTGAGTTCTCTCTCTTCTTCTCTTCGCTAGCATGGCTAAGGGTCTGTCGATTTTGTTTATTTTTTCAAAGAACCAACTTTTAGTTTTGTCAATTTTTTCAATTGTTTCTTTTGTTTCGATTTCATTGATTTCAGCTCTGATTTTAATTATTTCTTGCCTTCTACTTCTTTTGCTGTTGTTTTGCTCTTCTTTTTCTAGGATTTTGAGATGAAGTATGAGATCATTTATTTGTTGGTTTTTTCTTTTTTTAAGGAATGAACTCCAAGCAATGAATTTTCCTCTTAGAACTGCTTTCAATGTGTCCCATAGATTCCGATATGTTGTGTCTGTGTTTTCATTAATCTCTAAGAATTTTTTAATTTCCTCCTTGATGTCTTCTATAACCCATTGATCATTCAGTAACCTATTGTTCATTCTCCAAGTGATATATTCTTTTTCCTTCCTTCTTTTATCGTTGATTTTCAGTTCCATTCCATTATGATCAGATAGGATGCATGGTATTATCTCTACTCCTTTGTATTGTCTAAGAGTTTCCATGTGACATAATATATGATCTATTTTTGAGAAGGATCCATGTGCTGCTGAGAAAAAAGTGTAACTGTTTGATGTTGGGTGGTATATTCTATATATGTCAATTAAGTCTAGGTTATTAATTGTGTTATTGAGTTCTATAGTTTCCTTATTCAACTTTTGTTTGGAAGATCTGTCCAGTGGTGAGAGAGGTGTGTTGAAGTCTCCCATGATTATTGTATGGTGGTCTATTAGACTCTTGAACTTGAGAAGAGTTTGTTTGATGAACATAGCTGCACCATTGTTTGGGGCATATATATTTATGATTGTTATGTCTTGTTGGTGTATGGTTCCCTTGAGCAGTATGTAGTGTCCCTCTTTATCCCTTTTGATTAACTTTGGCTTAAAATCTATTTTATTTGATATGAGTATGGATACTCCTGCTTGTTTCCGAAGTCCATATGAGTGATATGATTTTTCCCAACCTTTCACCTTCATCCTATGTATGTCTTTTCCTATCAAATGCGTCTCCTGTAGGCAGCATATTGTTGGGTCTTGTTTTGTGATCCATTCTACTAGCCTGTGTCTCTTGATTGGTGAGTTTAAGCCATTAACATTTAGGGTTATTATTGAGATATGGGTTGTTCTTCCAGCCATATTTGTTTATTTATGTTACTAAACATGGTTTGTTTTCCACTTTGATTATTTTCCCCCCTTTAGTGTCCTACCTCCCACTGTTGGTTTTCATTGTTATTTTCCATTTCCTCTTCCTGTAATGTTTTGCCAAGGATGTTTTGAAGAGATGGTTTTCTAGCTGCAAATTCTTTTAACTTTTGTTTATCGTGGAAGGTTTTAATTTCATCTTCCATCCTGAAGCTTAATTTCGCTGGAAACACAATTCTTGGTTGGAACCCATTTTCTTTCAGTGTTTGAAATATGTTATTCCAGGATCTTCTAGCTTTCAGAGTCTGTGTTGAAAGATCAGCTGTTATCCTGATTGGCTTACCCCTAAATGTGATCTGCTTCCTTTCTCTTGTAGCTTTTAAAATTCTCTCCTTGTTCTGTATGTTGGGCATCTTCATTATAATGTGTCTAGGTGTGGGTCTCTTATGATTTTGCACATTCGGCGTCCTGTAGGCTTCTAGGATTTGGGGTTCTGTCTCATTCTTCAAGTCTGGGAAGTTTTCTCGAATTATTTCATTGAATAGATTGCTCATTCCTTTGGTTTGAAACTCTGTTCCTTCCTGTATCCCAATGACTCTTAAATTTGGTCTCTTGATGTTATCCCATATTTCTTGGATGTTCTGCTCATGGTTTCTTAACAGTCTTGCTGAGCTGTCTATGTTCTTTTCAAGTTGAAATACTTTATCTTCATTGTCTGATGTTCTGTCTTCTAAGTGTTCTACTCTGCTGGTAGTATTCTCAATTGAGTTTTTAAGTTGGCTTATTGCTTCCTGCATTTCTAGGATTTCTGTTTGTTTGTTTTTTATAACCTCTATTTCCCTGTATAGTTGATCTTTTGCTTCTTGGATTTGTTTATGTAATTCATTGTTGAAGTGATCTTTCATTGTCTGATTTTGCTGTCTGATGTCTTCCTTGAGACTCCAGATCATCTGAAGCATGTATATCCTGAATTCTTTATCTGACATTCCATCAGCTGCAGCTATTACCTCTTCTAAAGTTGAGTTGACCTGCAATGCTTGTGGTCCTTTCTTTCCTTGTCTCTTCATACTGTTCGCGTTCCTTTCTTCTTGGTGAAACTGTTGTGCTATTGAATTTTCCCCCTATATATTTATATTGGTCTTGTATAGTTGCAAAGTCTCCCTCGCAGGCACGGGCGGCGGCTCTGCCCCTCCGCCAATTGGGGCAATGTGCCTACCACGCCGGCAGGCCGCTGGGCCTGCTCTGCCAGTCGGTAGCAGGTCCGCCGTCCTTGCAGGCGCGGGCGGCGGCTCTGTCCCTCTGCGGGCCGCTAGGCTTGTTCTGTCGGTGGTCGCCGTTCTGCCTACTTTGCAGGCGCAGGCAGCGGCACTGCCCCTCTGCAGGCCTCTGGGGCTGTACTGCCAGTGGGTCGCAGGTCCGCCTACTTTGCAGGCGTGGGGGGGGGGGCGGCTCTACCCTTCCTCAGGCCACTGGGCCTGTTCTGTCTCTCGGTTGCAGGTCTGACCTGTTCTGATGGTGGTCTCAGTTCCGATTACCTTGCAGGCGCTGGGGGGAGGGGGCGGCTCTGCCTCTCAGCAGGCCGCTGCTCCTCTTCTGCCGGTGGGTCGCAGGCCCGCCTACCTTGCAGGAGTGATTGGAAGCTCTGTCCCGCCGCGGGCCACTGGGCCTTTTCTGTCGGTGGTCACCCTTCCCCTACCTGGCAGGCGAGGGGGGTGGGGGGCGGCTCTGCCCCTCAGCAGGCTGCTGGGCCTGCTCTGTCTTTGGTCCCAGTTCCCTTCTGACATTTATTCTAATAAAAAAGTGCTTGATGGGACTGACTAAAATGTTCTCATGATGCCCTAATGGATAGAATATTATATTTTGAAGAACAGTGGTTTTTCACTAAGGTACCAAATTGCAAATATTTTTCTGCTGTAGGAAGTGTCTGAAAATTTTAAGTTATTCCAAAATTGTATGAATCATTCATTTTTCAGGTTGCAAATAAATTATTTTGATGAGTTTTATAATACAACTGTGTAAATGTCATTTTATTCCAGTTTAGTTTCTGGTATACCTAATGCTGATTTTTGTCCCTCTCCCCTCTTTATAGTGACAAAGATAGGGAAATTAATGAAGAGGAACTGACTTCTTGTATTCTGAGAAAACTGGGTGAGACTAATATTTTAAATTGTTTTCTTAAATTTTAAGTGCAATGCTGCAGCAAATACTGTTTTTTGAGGTCTTACAGATATAGTAGTTTCCTTCCAAATAGCTTAGAGAATATTCCCTTAATGAAGTAACATCCTTTTGAAGCAGGGGATGTCTAACTTTTCTCAGTAAATGGATTCAGCACTGGAAAAATCAAATGGCTTGTTTGTGGACAGGTTCAGCCGTAGGACCAAGGCTTTAACCCAGCTGAAAGCAATTAGAGAAATAATTGAACTGCCTTTCAAGGCACGTGGACTTCTGGCTGTTGATGGGATCTCAGATCCTGGTGTGTAGAGAGTTTGAAAGAGTCATCTTTTCTGTTTCCAGCTGGTGCTGTCAGTATGTCATAGGGGAATATTAAGCTCTCAGCTTTTTTTTTTTCTTTCCTTTTTATTTTTTTCAGTGCTGGGAATTGAACCCAGAATCTCATACAGGGTAGGCAGGTGTTCTACCACTGATCTTACCTCTCCAGGATTTTTTTTTGGCAACAGGGTCAGCATTAAGTTGCCCAGGCTGATCTCATTCTTGTGATCTTTCTGCCTCAGCTTTCACAGTAGCTGGGATTATAGGTGTGTACCACCACACCTGACTAGGCCTCTCTCTCTCTTTTTTTTTAAATGTGTAACTTTTTAAAAATATATATATATTTTTTAAATTTGCAGATGGACCTTTATTCTATTTATTTATATGTGGAGCTGACAATTAAACTCAGTACCTCACTCATGCTAGGCAAGCACTTTACCACTGAGCTACAACCCTAGGTCTTTTCTTTTTCATGACAAAAGTGACTTTATTGATACTCCAGTTTTGATTGAGTCTTTTTGGTCAGATAGTTTTGTTAATAGCCAATAAGTTGCTATTAAAGCATTGAATGGGTGAAAAATTTTGTTAACGTGGTGTATTTGTTGAATTGTTTTCCAGATGGCAAGATTGTTTTACCAGGCAACTTTCTGTATTGTACCTTCTATGGACGACTTTGCAAGTTACAAGTTTTGCAAGTGAAAGGGGCAGATGGCATGGTATTGGGAAGGCCTCAGACTGACTCTGACACTAGTGCACAGGGAATGACCTTTGAACAATCCAGCATGGAAAACAGTAACCTGGATATGTCCTTCCAGCTAAGTCAGTTACATCTGGATGAGCCCCAGAGCCCAGCATCGAGAAGTACTCCTTGTAAACCTGTTGATGACAAATTTATAAATAAAGCCAATGACATTTTGCTGGATATTACACAGAACTTTGGGGATGGCAGTGGACTTGAGCTAGAGGGAAGCACAGCTCTTAAATGTAGTTTTGAGTCTTCCAGAGAAGGAAATAAGCAGGTTATCAATGAAGAGAGACTGCTAAAATCATCCAGCACTGGAGGGAAGTGCAATACTGATACTTTTTATTTTATTTCTTCCACAACAAGAATCAATCTTACAAAGAGTTGTACAAATTCAAAGGAGCAAGATAACCCATTTAAAGTAACGTACGACATGATAGGAGGTTTAAGCAGTCAGCTGAAAGCAATTAGAGAAATAATTGAACTGCCTCTCAAACAGCCTGAACTTTTCAAGAGTTATGGTATGATATCTTCAGTTTATTGTACCTAGAAGTGTTAAATTCAAACTGAAAAGTAGTTGGCTGATTCCAGTTATCTACTGAATGTTCTCTCTCTCTGCCTGTCTTAGTTCATTCTGATAAGAGGTGCCTTAGGAGATACCATGCACTGAACCAGTCTCTATGCTTTGGTCCCTGGGCTGTGATATGTGTTAGTGACAGCCTTGTCTCTTCTAATAGCATATAACAGTTGCTTGTGTTGGATCTATAATAAGTATCTTGTTGTGCTAGACCAGCTGTAAAGGTGAAAGAAATAAACTATATTCATATAGGTGGGATAAAATTTCTTTGTTAGGAAATGTAACTGTGTGCTGATTTCATTGCATTGAGACAATTAGTTAAAGGTTGTAGCAAATTAAGCTAGTGACTTGACTCCTGGCAAACTCAGGTGCCTCTTTCTGGTTTCTAACGGATCCTTTGTATGTATTTGTGCATGCTATCTCTGTTTATTCCTTTTTATGAATTTTTATGTTTAAAATTGACCCGTGGACCCCAGTGTGGTGGCACATGCTGCTACTGGTGAGGCTGAGGCAGGAGGATCACAAATTTGAGACCTGTCTCAGTAATTTAGTGAAACTGTCTCAAAGTAAAAAAAATAGAGCTGGATGCGGTGACAAGTGCCTGTAATCCCAGCAGCTCAGGAGGCTGAGGCAGGAAGATCCAGAGTTCAAAGCCAGCTTCAGCAAAATCGAGGCCCTGAGCAACTCAGTAAGACTCTGTCTCTAAATAAAATACAAAATAGGGCTGGGGATGTGGCTCAGTGGTCGAGTGCCCCTGAATTCAATCCCTGGTACCCCACCCCTGCAAAAAAAAAAAAAAAAAGACTGGGGATGTAGGTCAGTGATGAAGCACTCCTGGATTCAGTCCCTAGTACAAAAACAAAAAACCAAAAACCACAACCAAACTTTTGGTTTTATATTTTGCTAGTAATGTTTAGCCCCTCCAAGGTAATAGGAAGGAAATCGGTATTGGTGGCTTGCTTTTGTGTGTGCATGTTTGATTTTATTTTTGGTCATTGAACTGTGCTGTGCGAGATAAGGCTTGGCAGTGTGTGTGCAGTTTTCTACCAGCATACTTCCTATGCTTTGTGGTCTATAGAGAAGAGAGAGATCATTGTGGTGATAGGTATTTGGTATAGTTAATACATCTTTCTGAGGGAGTGGGAGGAGGCCTGACTCTTATTTTAATTTTGTGATGCATGATAAATTTGCATTTGTAACTTGTGTTTGAAGTAGTATGACAGTCTTCATGAGAGTCTTAGTGAAGCTGAATTCAGTGTTCATTTTTTTCTCGTAGGAATTCCAGCTCCTAGAGGAGTGTTACTCTATGGCCCTCCAGGTACTGGGAAGACAATGATTGCCAGGGCTATTGCTAATGAAGTTGGAGCCTATGTTTCTGTAATTAATGGTCCTGAAATTATAAGCAAGTAGGTGCATGACTTGATAAAGTAAATTTAATATTACTAAATATACTTCTTCAAGGTAGCCTTTAAAAGTGGCAGCATGGGGCTGGGGTTGTGGCTCAGTTGTAGAGCGCTCGCCTAGCACATGTGAGGCCCTGGGTTCGATCCTCAGCACCACGTAAAAATAAATAAATAAATAAATAAATTAATTAATAAATAAAGTACTGTGTCTACTACAACTAAAAAATAAATATTAAAAAAAAATGGCAGCATGGATGGGGCGCAGTGGACGTACTTATAATCTTACTGGTTCTGGAGGCTGAAGCAGGAGGATCGCAAGTTCAAAGCCAGTTTCAGAAACTTTGGAGAGGCCCTAAGCAACTACGCAAGACCTGTTGAAATAAAAAATAAAAAGGGCTGGAGATGTGGCTTAGTTATAAGTGCTCTGGGTTCAAATTCTGGTACCAAAAAAAAGAAGTGACAGCATGATATTCTCTCTGGATAATACATACCTTGGAATATTTTAAATTTGTTATATATATATATATATATATATATATACATACACACACACACACACATACAGGTATATAGAATATAAATATATTCATATATATAGATCCATACACATGCATGTACACACACATGTACTGAGGATTGAACCTAGGGTGCTTTACAACTGAGCTACATCCCCAGTCCATTTATTTTTTATTTTGAGACAGGGTCTTGTTAAATTGCTAGGCTGACTTCAAATTCCTGATCCTCCTGCCTCAGTCTCCTGAGTTGCTGGGATTATAGGTGTGTGTCACCATACCTGGTTTGCTTTTTAACACTAATGTATAAAAATTAAATTTGGAAAATAAATGTTGAAAGTGCTTATTCTAGAACTGTTTAAAAAGTCAGATTAGCTTTTATATACCAAGATTAAAAAATAAATAAATGGTCCTTAAAAAATATTTGTTATTTGTTACAGATTCTATGGTGAGACCGAAGCAAAGTTACGTTATATATTTGCTGAAGCCACTCTACGGTATTGTTTTTTTATTTTATGGGGGAAGCACATTTTTTTGTTTGTTTGATGTTTTGCTTTTGTTCTTTTTAGATATACATGACAGTAGTTTTTGAGGTTTTGGAATTAATAGTCAAAGCTCCATTAAAGTGAAGTAGTAGTATCTTACACAAAGCATGAGAGTTAACACAAAAAATAGTAGTAGTTCTAGGAATAGATTGTAGACTTCATGAAATTCTGTTTCGTCTATTTCTAATATTGTTTTGGAAGTTTGATAAATTGGTAATTAAACTATAGAAAGTAGAAGAATTAAAACAGCATTTTTTGCTGAGTCAGTAAGCAAATAAATCTCTGAATTCCTTTAGAGTATACCTACATTTAATTATTTTAATAGACTCTATTTTCAAAGTATGCTTAGAGCTTAGTTCTCTTATAAATTCCTTCCGAGGGACAAACCTTGTGCTCTTTAAAAAATTACCATAGTATTCCTGAGTTTAGGTTACATTGTTAAATTGCAATGAGTATTAGAATATTGTCAGTAACTTGGTCTGATGTAATATTGTTCTTAACATGGCTGTATTTCTACCATTGTTTGGATAGTTAACATCATATTACTGCTTTTTAAAGAACTGCTATTTTAAAGTGCTTTCTTCCAGTGTTAGAGATAAAATAAGAATTTTATCGTCCTACTACTGAAAATTTGAGAAGATGGTTTACCTTATTTTTTATGTATTTGTTATTAGGTTAATGGTAGTTGGGGTTTCCTTTTGTAAGAGAATTCATGTCTTTTTATGGCAGAATTGGTCATCTTGAAAGTATTGTTTACGTCGTTTAACAAAAACAAGAGGGCATTCTAGTTTATGTCCTTTGGGCTTTAGACCTACTCCCAAGGGACAGCATCTCTGTCCTCAGCTTCTGAATTGATCTAGTCATATAACAATTTAGTAGGCATTTGTGGGAGAGTTCTGCCTGGGTATAGATGCTCACCTCAGGAGCAGTAGGCTCTTCCCAGTACTCTGCCTTGTAACCAAGGCAGTAGACTAGAATGTGAGTTGATAAGTTAAATCGGCTGAAGTTAAGCATCTTCACTTTCTAATGCTTTTATCTATAAGTATTATTAAATTCTAAATTTGACATGTTGCATTTCAGTTAAAAAATTGAAACTAAAATTAAAAATTAAATGTGAATTAGAGATTTCGTATTATGTGTTTGTTTTTAGGCACCCTTCAATTATTTTTATTGATGAACTAGATGCGCTTTGCCCTAAAAGAGAAGGAGCTCAGAATGAGGTGGAAAAAAGAGTTGTGGCTTCACTCTTAACATTGATGGATGGCATTGGCTCAGTGAGTACAGTACTAGTACTGATCCTGTGTGGGAAGCAAAAGTGCATGTTCTGGGTCTTTGGGTATTCCAGGATAAGGGAAATGTATCTAGCATAGTAACTAGCTTCAGTAGATAACTTGGAAATTTCTAGGACAATGTAACTTGACATGTTTTCTAACATATAAAATAACATACTGTGATAGTTTTTTTTTTTTTTTTTTTTGTGATAGGTGGTATTAACCTGAGGCAAAAATCAATAAGGAAGATTCAGCATTAAATTTTAGGGTATTTTATTTAGAAATTTCATGAGTAAGTCATCTTATTTATGTAAAAAATCTTTCAGACAAGTAAAAGGGATGAGAAAATAATGGACAGAAAGCATTTACTCTGATCACTGGATTCCGTGATGGGGTATATACTCTTGTATTAATGAAAACAAGGAAGGACTAATTCAGAACAGGAATGAAGAAAAATTCTCTGAGTTCTGATATCTGTTAACCAGAAAAATGTATATCTTTGGGCTTTTGTTTTTGGTACCAGGGATTGATCCTAGGGATGTACCACTGAGTTACATTTTTTTTTTTAATTTTTAATTTTGCAACAGGATCTTCCTAAGTTGCTGAGGCAGGCCTTGAACTTGCAATCCTCCTGCCTTAGCTTCCCTGAGTCTCTGGGATTAAAGGTGTGCACCACCATGCTCAGCTCAGAAAAATGTACTTCTTGGGCCAGAGTATAAATAACTAAAGTTTTTAGAATCATGATATGTTAAAGCCAAAAGAAGTTTTAGAAATTACGTAGATCCTGCTCTTCTTGGTGCATATTAAATAAGTGGATAATTAAAAGGTTTTTACTGCTTACTGGTAGAAACTGAACATGTGGTAATAATGTGAATGCTTGGTATTTGGTCAGTTGGACATCACTATTAAGTACACCAACTCTCTTTGTTTATGGTTGACTGTAATTTCACCCTCATGGCAAATGTAGAGAGCTGTATTATAATTAGAGGGACCCAGGGGAGGAGTGAATCCACTGGCAGGCCCCATGTGGAAGGATCTCAGTTGCAGGGTCTTTCTGCTGCCCCTTCTTCTCTGCTGTGGAATAAGCCGACTGCACTGATGTTCTTGCTTTTGGACACTACTGGAAGTACCACACTGATGTTATAGTATGAAAATATTTGTACTCTTAAATTCATGATTCATGAATTCACATGGTTTATTTTCTGTTGGCACATTTAGAATAATTGATGAGGTTTGAGTTTTATGTAAATCACATTCCACTTACGCTGGTCTTTGTTGAAATGACCATCTAAGTAAAATGCTGGGTAATACCTACGGGTGCCTGATCATGATTATAGTTCTTTATAAGTTGTTCTTAATTTCAGTTTCAGAGTAAAAATCCTTATGTATTCAAGGGTGTCTGTTATTAGTTGTATTATTGTCTGTATTTTCAGAAAGTTAAAAATTTATTATTATAAAAAAGAAAACAGTTTGTATATAAGGAAGACTTCCTAATGGAGCCTTGTTCTCTTTGAGTAACATCAGTTCATCATCTTTTTTTCCAAGTAGGGAAAATTATTTAATTAAAACAATTAAATGAAACATGTAATTTAATGCAATTATTTATGATAATGATGTGGTTAAGATGATAGAAGTCAGAGAAACATCCTTTAATTGATGGAGAGGTAAGTGTTGGAAAGCTTTCTAGGGGAAGAAGGATTTAGACTGAACTTTGAAAAATGTGGAATAAAAGTATAACAAATCTATTACAAATAATAAATAGGTAACAGGACCTAAAGTTAAGACTTAATAGTCTGGATGGTTCTATTCATTCTTATCTACGTAGCCAGTGTCTATCTCCATATATATATATTTTTTTCAAGTTTTAGAAAATTATGCAACTTATTTTTATTTTATTTTGTTAGGAAGGAAGTGAAGGACAGGTGTTAGTACTTGGGGCCACAAATCGCCCTCAAGCATTAGATGCTGCACTCCGAAGACCTGGACGATTTGATAAAGAGATTGAGATTGGAGTTCCTAATGCTCAGGACCGGCTGGATATTCTCCAGAAGCTGCTTCAAAGGGTTCCCCATTTGCTCACTGAAGCTGAACTGCTCCAGCTGGCAAACAGTGCTCACGGCTATGTTGGAGCTGACCTGAAAGCCTTGTGCAATGAGGCAGGTGAGAGTGTTTGGCAGTGTGGCGTCTGTGCCTGTGGGCTTTCCTCTGGTTCACACGCTGATCATTTACCTTTCACTTTTTATTTTTTTGGCACTGGGAATTGAACCCAAGGGTGCTTTACCACTGAACTATATATCCCTTGCCCTTTTTATTTATCTTATTTACTTTGAGACAGGGCCTTGCTGAATTGCTGAGGGGTTCATGATATTGCTGAGACTGGTCTTGAACTAGTTATCCTCCTGCCTTAGCCTCCTGAGTTGCTGGAATTACGGGTATGTGCCACTTTCCTCAGCATATCTCACTCATTGCTTAATGGAAATAATTTTTTTTCTAATCATAAAGTATGTTTATTGGAAAAACATAATGATTCAGAAGACTATAAAATGAATGGAAATTACTTTTATTCCTCCTAAAGATCACTACTTTTATGGTATATATCCTTCAAGATTTTTTCTGAGTATGCGTGCACATACATGTATGTACACACATATATCACCAGCTGCACAGGTGGTAGGATGGATGATGACAGTATTCATTGATATTGTGCTGTGGAAATTAGGTAAATATGTCTACAGGAAGATCACAGTTTTCGTTGAGCAGCTTAGTATATGTTGAAGTGCTGAAAAAGTACTCAAAAAGTCTATGCTATAGAGTGTATTTACCTTTAACAGTGTTTCAGGGTTGTTATTAGTTGCCTACTTAAGAACTTGACCATGGAATAACTGTAGTTACTTTTGGAAGTTTTAAGACCTTTTAATGTTTGCACAGTTTTTTTTTTTAAAAAACTTAATGCCATGACATTTTGTTTTCTTAAATCAGAAAAGTAAACCCAGAATTTCTAGGATAGATGTCCTAGGTGAGCACCAGAAAGGGGTCCTGGCTAGGGTGAGGCGGGCATCAGGCTATAGGGTCCATGGGGCAGGAAGACCTTGCAGACAGCTGGGGTCCTCACAAGCAATGAGCAGGGGAAAGGCCAGGCCTCAGTTGATGTGGCTTGGGCTTGGAATCAGGGGATTCCTGCTCCCTCCTTCCCATGAATAGCACTGGTATATGAGGTGGCTATTCATCCACTTGACTCTAGCTTATTCTTAGTCCAGGGACCCTCGGGTGGCCAAAGCTGCCTTTGCAGGGCTGGCCACAGCTAGCACCCTGGACTTCCCCAAAGCCTAGAGACAGGTAGGGCCCAGGCTCTTCCCTCCTCAGACATGGACTCCTTCGTTGGCTCACTCTACCCTGGGACTCCAGGAGACCAGAGTGTGGGGCTGCCCTGAGGGGTCTGGGACTAGGGGTGGGCAGCCTGTAGAACAGGAAGGGGCGTGACCCAGAGACAGTCCTGGGGGGAGTTCTGTCCAGCTGGGGGCAGCCAACAGCTGACAGGTTACTTGGGTGGAGAGTGGAAAACGGCACAGACTGGGTTCTCTAGCCCTTCCATAAACAGTTCCCCCGCACCCTGCAGCTCTCCCTGGTGTGGAGACCCCAAAGCTGCCCCATCAGTACCTCTACTTCAGTGGGGGCAGAATCCTAAGAGGTGGGGTGGCAAACACAGCACCCCTGTGTTTGCAGTTTTTCAGAGTAATTTTCATTATGGAAAATTCAGGACAGTTTATTTTTTATTTTTTTGGCATGGTACTGAGGATTGAACCTAAGGGTCCTTTACCAAAATTGTGACAGTTTTAATAAGTTGTTGAAATATTCAGTATTTGATCCAGTAAGTAAGAATTTGTTGAAAAAAATATGATAGTTTTTGTTGGTTTGGAAAGGCTGTTTATTTTCTACTGACTTTTAAAGGCAGGGCACATACTGAGCCAGTAATCTATACTCCTTAAATACGTTCTTTTCTCTGTGTTGGCATATATTTTTAAGTCCTTTTATACTTTGAAGGAATTTTTTTTTTTTTTTTTGTATTGGGGATTGAACCCAGGGACACTTAACCACTGAGCCATAACCACAAGCCTTTTTATTTTTTATTTTGAGACAAGGTCTCGCCAAGTTGCTGAGGGCCTCACAAAGTTAGGCATTCTTTCCAGTTGTAGTATTCTGTTTTTCCCATAAGGTGTTTTAAAGAATATCTAATTCTTACAGTGATGGAAGACATTAAATTCTTGAATTGGAGACCTGTTTATTTTAGAGCTGTCGTTTCAGAAATTTAGTAACTTTTTTTTTTTTGATTCATAGTTGTCTATATGTTACTGGCTTTGAAGACCTATCCATTAGTCCTTTCAGTCTTTTAATTTGGACTGATGGGTTTATGAAAAGTGGTTAAAGAAGACAGGTAGGAAAAGAAAACTTGGGAGAGATATTTAGGAATTTTTGAATTCTTACTCTTAAAATGGAGAAAATCAATTGTATTTCACTCTTCTTGATTATTACCACAATTCCAGGCTAGAGGATTAATAGCTGTGGAAACTATAGGCAGTATAGATTACCTAGGTGAATGTTAACATTTTCTTCAGCACATTATCACATTATGGTATAGGACTAGACCCCATCTGTCCAGCTTCTGTGCTGCTAGCTTCCTGGTGAGGGGTGGGCCTGGGTTAGAATTAACTTCTCAGGCACTAAGTCACAGATGTGTCAGTAGGCTGCTTTGCTCTTTTTTTTTTTTTTTTAATTTTTTTTTAAAATTGTAGATGGACATAATACCTTTATTTAGGTTTTTTTTTTTTTTTTAAATGTGGTGCTGGGGATCGAACCCAGTGCCTCATATGTGCTAGGCAAGCACTCTACCACTGAGCCACAGCCCTAGCCCAGCTACCTTGCTTTTTTAATTCTGTTAGGTGATCCCGAAGAGTCTGAATTACTGTTGCTTTGGACCTTCCCATGGCATCTAGGCAGGGATTCAATCTTCAAAATCTTTATCAGATAAGTTTGGACTTTCTAGTAGATTTTATACACTATAGAAAACTCTGGGATTCTTGCTTTCCAGAAAACAGTTCGATGAAGAAAAGAGATTCGTGATCATCTACTAATACAGTAATGAATACTCATAAAAGTATGAAAAACGTATTGACATTTTCAGTGGAAAAGGAATTCCTGGGGTTAATAGAAAAAAATGACTTCTGAGAAGAAGTTAAAAAAAGGTAGTTTATGGGCAGGTGAGTGAGAAGGTATGAAAGGGAAAACATTCAGACTCAGAGATCTCACAGCTAGTGTGTGGCAGCGTTGGAATTTAATCCCAAATCATCTTCAAACCTGTGTTCTTTATCCAAATTAAAAAATAAAGCATTTTTTCAAAGTGGTGTAGGGCTTTAAGATTTAATATTAGCCTGCAAAACTAAGGATAGACTCAGTTTATAAAGGAGATAATATTGAGATATTTTCTTATTTTCTGTCTTCCTTTCTGTAAACTAATCATTTCCCACAGTCTAGCAATGATTCAGACTGTGAAAAAGTAGTCTTTAGAAAGATTGGCTGTATAGTGTCCATAAGGGAAAATATATGTGATTTTTGTGTGTGCTCTTGAATACTAGTGTGTGTAGAGTTATTAATATTATTCACTTAATTTTATAGCAGAAAAAATTTGAGAATAGTGTGTCGGGATGATTTTCAAGGAATTTTTCCCAAGGGCAGGATGATACAGTGGAGAAGTAGTTTTGAGGTAGGGTTGGACAAATTTGCTTTTAAAATGAGGTTCGTGATCTTAGGCAAGTTCTGTGCCTTATCTGAGCTTTAGTTTTCTCTACTTGTAAATAGAAGGGTTAGGGCACATGATATTTTAGTGCCCTTATGGCTATGGCATTCCCTGGACTTAAGGAAAAACAAAGAAATGAACAAAATAAAAAGGGGGAAGAGGATAGAAATAATAAGTCAAGAGGAAGGGAAAAGATAATAGAAATACCCAAGTTACTTGCTGAGTTTGTCCTGGCTAAATTGGCTACTTTCCTACCTGTGACTTTCCTCCGTCCCTGGACTGGACTTTTGTAGAACAGGTTCTGAGTGCTTGGTAATCCCAAAAAGGTGGGACAGTGAGGCACCTTTAAAAATGTCTGTGATTTTCCTGAATATTTCCAGTTTGATTTTGTGTTCTCACTAATAGATTTCTCAGCTTTGGCTCTGCCTCTAGACTTAACCACATTCTGTTTGAAGTAAGGGCTTTTCAGGAGACATTTCCTTTGCTTCCTGGTTTGCTGTGCCTTGGTGGAATGCTGGAGCATGCCCACTGGCATGTCTGGGTGGTTAAGGCACCAACACCAAGTTCATGAGTTGGGACAGTAAGACTCCATCTCTAGGAAATCTGTCTCTGGCTGTCGTAAGTGCATTCTGTCTCTGTTATTCATTCTTCCTCACAGGGAAGGGTTATTTGACATGTCCTTCATTCAGGATGGATCACTTGGAGCATATCAGAATCAGCTGTACTGAAACAGATTGCTGAGCACCCCCAGAGTTTCTGATTCAGTGGATCTGGGCTGTTATCTGAGAATTTACATCACATTCCCATTGCAGACTTACTTAGGTAAGGGAGGTAGGAAAATGGAATCAGGATTTATGTTTCCTGAATGATTTTGAAGCAGCCACTCTTACCCTTGATGTGATCAGGTATTTGAGTCATTAATTTAGGTGAATGGTTATCCAACTGAAACACCTATCAGAATCACTTGGAAGCTTATTAAATCGTAGTTCTGGCTGGGTGCAGAGGCGCACACCTGTAATCCCAGCAGCTCAGAAGGCTAAACCCAGAGGATTATTAGTTCATAGCCAGCCTCAGCAACTTAGTGAGGCCCTAAGCAACTTAGTGAAATACTGTCTCCAAATAAAAACTAAAAAGGACTGGGGATATGGGTCAGTGGATTAATTCCCCAATACCAAAAGAAAAAGAAAAAACTGAAAAAATTATAGTTCTAGGTTCTAGCTCAATGATTCAGTAGATCCAGGTGGGGCCCAATAATTTGCATTTTTAAGAAGCTTGCTGGTGACATCCCTGCTGCTGTTCCATCTAGACCAATCAGCTACTTGGTATTTGAAGAGTCTCTGAAACTGACTTCAGTAACGGGATTAAATAT